GAGGTTAGCATTAATAACTATTGATAACCATTAATAACTATTAATGACCATTAATAACTATTAATAACTACTCTTTAGTTATTAATAACTGCTCATCAAGCTCCTTACGATTTGCGTTACAATCAAGTCGAATCGATATTCCTGTCATCGATCGATGGGGACACTTTTGATGGAGAGAAACTGGAACAGCTCATAAAATCAGACACTTCAATGTTTGACGTGTTGCCAAGCTTCTTCTATCATCAGAACAAGCTGGTCCGTGTTGCAGCCCTAGAGGTAAGGCTCTGGATATACATGTAGCTTTGTTTTACTCTAAGTTTGTGTGCTCATTGCATATCTAATCCTTTTCTCCAGGTTTATGTGAGAAGGGCATATACGGCGTATGACGTGTTGAGCGTGTTACAGGAGGAGTTGCTCAATGATGATAACAGTGTGTTGCAGTGGCAGTTTCTCTTGCCGTCAAATCATCCGAACAGAACTGTCGCTTATCGCAGGGCTAGCACAACCTCGATGACTGGACTAGGAGCTAAAGTAAGTGAAAGGAGAGAGAGAGAGAGAGAGAGAGAGAGAGAGAGAGAGAGAGAGAGAGAGAGAGAGAGAGAGAGAGAGGGAGGGAGGGAGGGAGGAAGAGAGAGAGAGAATAAGGTAAACTGCATGTAAACAGGAACTTCTATGTACATGTGCACTTGGGGCCATGAAAGTTTATCTGTTATGCGAAGGTGTCCTTTATGTGGAGGTCATTAAATTTGCATTATATTTTAGGTTTGGAGCTTAAGTGAGGATTTATCAGGTCTTGCGAAGATACAGCACCCGTCCTGCCAGAGAACCGGAATAATGGCGGCATTCACATCGCTCACCGACTTTGACAGGTTAGCCACACCTCCCAAACCCTGCCCACTGAGAGACCACACCTTTTTAGTAAATTTGAGTCTCTGATGGAGCTATTTGCAAGTGATTCTGACCTCCTCTCTCCTTTATCGCCTGTCTCTACATCGACTGGTGATCTGACATCAATCCAAGAGGAGGAGGAGGAAGAGGAACAACCTCTCCTCATGACAGCGCTACCTCCCAATTCACCTAGAAATGTATGCTAAATATACATGTACATGTACTTTAAAACCATACCCGTAATACCGTTATTATTATTATTATTATTATTATTATTATGAAATTATTATGTATAATTATTATTATTATTAAAACAATAAGAAAGGAGAAATGAACAGGGATAAATATGAAGAAAGAAATGAGAGATCATTATTATTATTATTATTATTATTAGTATTATTTATATTATTAATTGTATTTTTGTTGTTTTCAGGGTTCCGTTACAGAGAGTGTTACATCAATTAACGAGGAGCCCATTCATATTATCAATGTGTCCCTCAAGGACCCTAAGCTTCAGTACGAGACTGATGAGATTCTCTCTGAAATGCTCGGGGAGTTTGTCCAGTCAAAGATGTCTTTAATGGTGGACCGGGGAATCAGGAGGATCACTTTTGTCATATTCCAGCCAAACTCCTTCCCTAAATATTTCACTTTCAGAGCCCGTAACAAGGTGAGGGATGGTTGCCACGGCAATCGCTGTAGTTGTAGCAACTACCGTTGCTATGGTGATGGTTTTTCTTTTGGTATAGTTTGAGGAGGACACTATCTATCGTCACTTGGAGCCAGCCCTTGCTTTTCAACTTGAGATAAACCGACTGAGCAATTTCATGATCAGACAGATACCGACCAAAAACCACAGGATGCATTTATACCTCGGGTCGTCTAAAGTAAATTAATATTTATTTTTTATTTTATTAATTAATTAATTTATTATTAGGTAGCGGCTGGACAGTTAGTTACAGATCACAGGTTCTTTATTAGAACCATCATTCGCCATTCAGACTTTGTTACTGCTGTGAGCACTATTGATATTATTAATAACCATTGATATAACTATTAATAACTACTAATAACTATTAATAAATATTAATAATAACTATTAATAATTGTTAGGATGCTTCTTTCACTTACATGGAGAGAGAGGGTGAGAGAATGTTCCTAGAGTGTCTTGACCAGCTTCAAGTGGCTACAGCTAACATGGATGAAGTAAGTAATGATAATAATAATGATATAAGTATAATTGCTTCTTTCTCTTCGTAGACTGTTAGAACTGATTGTAATCACATATTCCTACACTTTGTGCCACCAATCATACTAGATCCTCAAAAAGTATGAAAATATGTTCATGTACTAACTAATATACATGTATATATATATATATATATATATATATATATATATATAGCACAATGATGACATCATTCCTTTGATGTGGTGGGTTCTATATTTTGTATATAGACCTGCCATGCAGAAATGCTGTCATCATTATGCCATATATCATATATAGTATACTAGATCGGTCTCATATACAGAATATAGGACCTTTGGTTTGTGTCCTTGGATGTAATATAGCCCTCGGGCCTACGGCCCTTGGGCTATATCACATCCTCGAACACAAACCAAAGGTCCTATATTTTGTATATATGACCTGCTAGTATACTGTATATGATATACATATATATATATATCTCCCTCTCTCTCTCTCTCTCAGATTGCTGATAAAATGCTATCACTTATTTCAAAATATGGCGTTCGTCTTGTCAAACTCCGTGTGATGGAGGCAGAGATAAAAGCGACTATCAGGTGAGCTCAACTTGTCAGACCAGTTTTTCTAACAGGTTCTGCCTCTAGACTGACCCCCAATGAGAAGGCCGTGCCAGTGAGAGTCTTCATATCCAGTGACAATAGCCTAACTGTCCGTGTCCACATGTACCAGGAGATTGAAGATGCCAAGACCGGGGAGGTGAGTATGACCCTTTCATTATGAGCCAATTAAGTAATAAATGAATTAATATTATTATTAACTAATAAAGTCGTTATATTGTGACTTGTTAGTCAGTTCACTGTATAGCTGGGAATATTCACAGGAATAACAATTTAAAGATTTCAAATTTGACCATTTTCGTATAATTAGCAATTTTTATGTACATGTACATGTACATGTACATGTATATTAGCAATTTTGCAGACATTTGTTGCTGTGTGTCATACATTGTCCATAAACTGATTCTTTTTGTAGATGGTGTTTCACAGTTGGAAGCACCTGGGTCCGTTGCATGGCATCAAAGTCTCAACCCCTTACCCGAGCAAGGACCAGTTACAGCAGAAACGCTACGTAGCTCAAAACCTTGAAACAACCTACATATACGACTTCATTGAGTTCTTTAAACAAGTTAGCGAGAGCTGATTATGTGATTATGGCTTATTATTATTATTATCATTTTATTTTTTTATTTTTTATATTCTTATTTAATTCTTTTATTTTTATTTTATTATAATTATTTTTATTTTATTTTTTTATTTTTATTTTATTTTTTATATTGTTATTTATTTATTTTT